GGGCCCGGCCTCGGGGACAGCCGGCACCGGTGTGTGCCGGCCGGGGCTGGAAACCGCACAACAGGTTTGACCAAGAGGCAGCTTCAGCGAGAGGCCCATTTTACAAAAAAACAAGACACACGGCAAAAAAGGTAACTCCACCCATCAGGTAGGCAGCCTGGGCATTCCGCAAGAGCACAGCGTCACCTGAGGGAGCGGGTGACATGGACACGGCAAAAACAAATCCGGGCAGCTACGGTTCAAGTCAAGATTCAGGACAACATCGGATTTAAACCCAAAACCACCTCTGACTGTTCTCACCAGGGAATCTCAGAAAATATTCTTTCCAGACAAGGTGGTACAGAAACCCCCATTTCGTATATAACTTACTTTTCCTTAAGTAAAACTCCCAAAAAAATCAAGAGGAAGGAAGTAAGTTTGTGTCGACCTTTTCTAGTACAAGCAGTAATAGCTAAAGGCTTCAATAAACATCTTTTTTTCCTACATGCATTCCTTAAAGATGAGTGAAATTGCTCACATGGAAGCATTTAGAGAGACAAACCAAGATAATAAAAATGAAAAATAAAAAGGGCTAGCATTTTCCAATTAAATTTCTTTTGCCAAGACACTAATCAAAATAGCAAAGACAGCATTACCTAACTGAATCACAGCATTATACAACTTGGGTGGGGAATGAACTTTGCAGCTGGGAATTTTGTGAACAGGATCCAGAACCTCCTTTCCAACACTTGCTTCTCTAATATGTATGCTTTGTAACAGGCAATTTCATTAAGGATTAAACTAATTTGGATAGGTGTGTTCACGCTTCTTAAAGCATCCTGTTCAACTACCAACAGCTTTCAGTGACAGGCCTGGGATTTTTCTCCTCCATACAATTTTCACATATTACAGTGGCCAATCATTGAAATGCAACAACTGTGATTGAACTAAAGAGAAGAAATTGCCATTTTTTATTCTCTCCCTCATCAAAATTTTTATTGGCACGGCAGAGGCCAAGGCTACACTCATGAGAAACAGCTACATTTAAAATAGTCTAGAGCAGGTGAATAGGAATATTTGAATATAAGAACAGCTGTGGTTGCTTAACCCCAGCCAGCAGCCAGGCCCCACACAGCCTCCCTTACTCCCTGGTCAGCAAGATCAGGGAGGGAATGAGAAAGGTAAAAGCCAAAAAACTTGTGAGTTGAGATAAAGACAGTCTAATAGGAAAAGCAAAAGCCATGCATGCAGGCAAAGAAATATAAGGAATTAATTCTCCATTTCCTATGGGCAGGCAGGTGTTCAGTCATCTCCAGGAGGACAAAGTTCCATCACATATAACAGTCACTTGGAAAGATAAATGCCATTGCTCCAAATGCCCCCCCTTGCTTTCATATACTGAGCACAATGTCATATGGTCTGGAATAACCCTTGGGGTCAGCTGTGTCCCTGCCCAATTTATTGTGCACCCCCAGTCTCCTCACTGGTGGGGTGAGAAGCAGAAAGGCCTTGGCTCTGTGCAAGCCCTGCTCAGCAATAACAAAAATATCTCCATTATTATCACCACTGTCTTCAGCACAAATCTATAACCAGCCACTGTGAAGAAGATAAATTACACCTCAGTCAAAACCTATAGCGGTTTAGCACAGATTATAAATTTATACCCAGATTATCTTAAGCTTCACTGATACAGACATTTCTCATTAATAGGCAAAGCTAAACACAGGTTCTGATGCAAAGTGTAGCCTGATGTTCACTATGCAGTAAGATGGAGAAATGAAGATGTGTCCAGAGTAGCTCAGGTGGAAAGAAGGCCAGTGATCTTTGTCCTCTGAGTCTGCTGGTATTGCTTCTCTTGGGAGTTAAACTCCTCTCACCTGTATCAGCCGAAAGGGGCCTCATTAGGTCTGACACGAGAGTCCTATTAACCAGAGTAACTTCGACTGAAACAGGTTTGGGGCCATTCAGAGGAGCTGCTACTCCCATCAGATGAGGACACAGCAACTTCTACAATGCACTATTTCTTCTTCCAGCAGAATTTGAGAAAAAACCCTCATATTTCTATAACTTCAGTACTGTTATTTTTTCATGTAGGAAAGCCCTTTGAGTATCAATGCCTAGGCTGGAAGGGGTGGATGAGGAAGCTTGTACTGCTACAACCAACTCAATATTCATTCCAGACCAGCTTGTGCTCACTTTGAAGTCAATTGCAATCTTCCATGGGTTTAACCAAGGTCTAGATTTGGCTTACTTCTATGAATTCCTCTATTTATCCAGGCTCAGTGACTGGAAGTCTCACACCTTTGATGCTGCATTCATAAACAGAAATCTGGGCTAGCTATGGCAGCATATGGAATATTCTTCTGACAAAGAAATCATTGTATGGAAACCTCAGTACCTGCCATTTTCAGACAGTCAGGGACTGAGATATTTGCTTAACGTATTTTATTTCTGGAAATTTTTCCACAGGAATGATAACCTCTGAGCCCATGCTTTTGGGGACCTCTGGCTGGAGTAAAACTCTTTCCTTGCAAAATCTGCTATGGGCAGCACATGCACTTGTCAGCATTCACTTAAAGAGCCAGGAAGCCTACCAGCAAGTTTTAATATCTTTTTATTTCCCAGCCTCCTCTTGGTTTCTAGCATTTAAGCCAGGACAGAACCCCAAAGCACCATGTGCTGTGCAATTGAACAGAGATTCACTTTTACCCATATAAAAAACTGTCATGTTGAGTTGGCATTTCAAACCAAATTCATATGGGCAGCGATGCCACAGTTAGAAATGAGGCCTGGAATTCTTGGTGTTGGGATGGGTGAGAGTTCACCTATCATCTCAAGCATAGTCGTACTGCTTTCTGACATTGTGCCTATACTGACCCAGTACCAACTGAAACAGAGAAGCCTTTGTGGGAGAGCCCACAAAAATCACAGCAGCATTTCCTGCAAGCACTGCATTTTCCTAGTGACCCTTCCAAGCTTACGAGCTCCAGACTTGTAGTTTTCCAAGTGGATTTGTGCCATTATAACACACAGGCCAGAACTGAGTGGTGGAAACTAGTACAACAAAACATCCATATTCCTGATTTCACAGGTACTGTCTTCGTTTTTCCACGTTCATTTTACAGCATTTAGTTCCTATCACTAAAATAATATATTGTTGAAAACTCTAAAAGAAAAATCTTAAGTGTTTACACAGTAAAAGCAAGCACAAATCACTAAAAAAAACATAAAATAAAACCTAGAAGTATTATAACACAGTTTTTCAGACAGTCTAAGAACCTCGAGTACCAGTCAGTGTGATCTGGGAGTTCTACCCAAATGGTCCAGGTTACTCCAGAGGTTTCCTGCAAGAACTTGATTAGGTTCAGACCTCTGAGGATACACGTGAATATGTATGCCTACATTCATTTTGAGCCCTAAGGAACTGATACACATAATTTGTCAACTCAATCTCATATGAGAAAGGCTGTTCTCTCACAGTCATGCTGGGTTGTAGTTCACTTTTTTACAGTCTTATTAGTTGACGGAGATTTTAGAAAGATATTTGCCTTTAGAAAGATATATCCCTTCACTCTGCTATAGTCACAAAAGACATTTATCTTCCCTCCTTGCTTTTTTACTGCTCCTGAGCATTCTGTAGGTTTTATACTTACTTTTTTTGCACATAGTTTCTAACTCCATCAGCTTGCAACTCTTTTATGCACCTGTTTTCCTTCTTTATAACTGGGCCTTAAGTTAAACCAGATCCCTCCAAGACAATATCACGTATTTGGATTTGCCACCCCTGCTTGATCCTCCACAGGTTCTTTGTATATGCCAGTGTATTAGACTTGAAGATAAGCATTTGATGGTAACGGCATTATCCTCAATCTGTGTTACACTCCTGAGAAAATTTTACTGCTTAAAATCCATTGCTCAGAGGCAGGCTTAACTGAAATGACTTCTGCACTCCAGCTTCATTTCCCCAGTGCATTTGTGTTGCAATAGGAGACTGCAGTGTTTAATGTCTGCACTGCTACTAGTCTGGAATAAAGGTAATACAGCCTATGGCTCAACTTGCTGTTTGCTGAGGAATGCAACACTACAGCCATTTAATAATTGGGCCAGAACTTGTGATGGACTGTACAAACTATGTTATCAAAGGCTATCTGCCTTAGACCTGGGTAGGTCTCTAGCACAAAAAAAAATTGGTGAAATAATTTTCTTGCATGTCTCTTGCATTTTCCCCCAAACCATCATGCTGTGAGCTTTGATCTGTGAGAGGCTGTCAATCTGAGCATCTTCCATTGTTACTGAAGGCATCCAAATTAAGAGTGAATTGGTTCAACATGCATTTGTACATAAACCAACACCCTTCACAAGCAGTAGAGTATAGCCTTGAAATAAACATTTTCATCAAGGAGAAACAGATGGAAGTACTTTAGTTTCCATTTTGTATTAACAGAAACTTCTCATTAAACCCTTGGAGCGTTAAAATTGGATAGCTCTGTGTTTTCCTGCTTGGTGGGCATAGCCTGGCTGACTTTGGTGGGCTGACACTTTGCCACATACACTCTTAGAAGTCACTAGTTCCCCTCTTTACAGATCAGATTTTCTACCATTTGTTTAGATTTTCTGCTTTGCATTGTATCTTGTGTAAAACTGAATTCTGAACTCAAATCAAGATTTAATTCTATGTAACAGAGTTAGCCAACAGGAAAAGGAACTCACAGAACCAGACTGAGCTGGTCCTGGCATGCACACACTTCACCTACACCTGCAGAGTTTAAGCTCCCAGTATGGGGAAATAGATAAATATCTGCTAGTATTTTTAAGTACTGCTGAATGCAATTCAGTTGGTCGACTGGGAACCCCATCTGAATGCATTCCAGATGAGCCATTTATCCCTATGTGTCAGCTGTGGCAATTTGTAATACCATTCTGAACTGATTGCTTCATTATTGTAAATGACGTTCCAGCCCCACAAAGTTTCCAGGTGGAGCTTAATATGACGTGAACACAAATACCTTCCTACCTACCTATTTTTTTTATCCTCCAGGAAGTAGAGAGCAAAGCAACTCATTCAGCAATATCCAAGAGTTTTCAAGCTATTAAGAGAAGTCATTATTGTAAGGTTAACAAAAAAGTTTTATTAAAGAGTGATTTAACAATGATGATTAAACAGTTACTAAACAATGACAACGAGGCGGTCAAACGCTACTTCTTACCACACTTCTAAGCTCGCTTGTGTAGAATATGCTTTGGATTTAACATAAAATGTCACTTACCTTGCTGTAGATGCCAGGCAAGGGATCTCTTGACTTTGAGGAATGGCCTTGGGAGTTACCCCTGCTCAAGGGGAGATCGCCATTGTGCAGCCACTGTCATGCAGGAGAGCTCAGGCTCTGGGGCTGCAGATATCTGTAGTACAAAGTGATTGGCTTGTAGTCAAACTCCTCTCTGGTGGCAGCCATTGAAGTTTTAGATATGTCTGGTCTCAGTTCAGGCTGGTCCTGTAAACTCTCAGTAAGACCCAAATTCTTTAGGTGAAGAGATACAGCTTTAGCCATTTCTCAAGGTTTGCACAGCAGGGCTGGCTTCAGCAAAGCCTATTTGTTGGTGATGCCAATAAATGGTGTACCACTGACTCAGAGCAGGTGTGCCCTTTACACCATAAATTTTGGGAAATAAATACCTCAATTTTTATGTTCCCTCACTTCTGATATAACTGTTCATACTTCTGTCTCACAGCAATGCTTCTGTTGTACTCTTAATAGAGAAAGGTGGGATTTGGAGTCACTCTCCAAGCTCCATTTAGCCTTGATTCTAACTTTGACACCTTTTAGCTCCTCCCATCAGGTCATGAACCCACAGCTTTACTGTCCTATTCACTAGAACTGAACCCTCTCCTGTATCTTCTGTTCTGCTCTCCTCAGTTTTAAATCCTATGTCAGAATATACCATATTGAACTACTTTCTTTTCCTTCATCTACTGTATGCTCTTCTTTGATATTTGTGTGGTAATTCTGTGAAGAAAGGAGTGCCTAAAGCTTATAGGGGTATTAAATATGTCAAAACAGTCATGGAGCTGAAAATACAACTACTCGGTAAACATCAAGATCTAGGTCATTTTAGCTCACTATAGGCCTACTATGTGATTTTAGCTAGCCTGTTCATTCTTCAAATTCCCTTTCCTAACACTGGAAATAAACACCATTAATCAACCCTCAGCATGATAATAAAAACCAAGAGGACTACATAAAGATAAATATTCTACACGTAAAACACTTTTTTGTAATTATTAGTCAGAATTGAAAGGCTTAATAAAAAATTCTCAAGACTACAAAAAACACAATTCAAGCTGTAGTTAAAAGTGTAGCTTTCCAAAGGTTCAGATCATTACTGCCTGGGGGTCATCTGTGCACAGCAAGCTCTGAGGGGCTTCTTCACCTCACTAATGATATGGGTCAGCACCTCCTCAAACCACGCCTCCAGCTGCAGTAGCATTCTGCTGCAGCAAAACAGTTCTTTGGGACATAACTCTTGGAACATAATATAAACCAAGTCTCATATAGAGTAGTAGCATAATCTTCCCATGACTCAGCCCTGACTCACCAGGAGCCTTTTCCACATTTAAGGAGAACCATGTCATTCAAGCCATCTTTAGCACAGATGACCTTTTGAGCAAGATTGCTCAAAATATTTTTCAACTATTAAGAAAAACGAGCACTGAAAGATTGCCTTTCATAGGTGTCCCAGCCCAGCCTTGCTTGCAGGTAAGCACCCTAACCACAGACTAGGGATCAGATCCTGAGAGAGCTGAACAACGTGGTATTTAACTGAAACTGAACAGAGTCAGATTTGTGTTATTGACAGCAACGAGGCAGCATTTGTCTAAAAGGAAGAAGGTAAATTCAGATCTGAGTAAGCATTTTTCCAACAAGTATTGCTCATCTAGCTGATACTTTGAATCAGAACATATCTCTGTGCCTTGCAGCTGCAGGGAGCGAGAGTCTCCTGGTGGTGTGGGAGTGCTCAGCGGTGCAGCTTGGGGTGGCCTGGTGGCACAGGTCCCCTGCACCCAGCACCCCAACAGCCTCCATTCCCTGCAGCTCTGCAAAACACGGGCTCCACTGCAATGCTCATCCCCCTGGCCAAGGAATTCTCTTTTCTACTCTCTCCAGCTCAGTCAGTCCTAGCTGATTACAGCTGGCCTCAAATGCTTTTTGGTTTGCTTTTGATTTTCTTGTTTTGTACCCCTTATCCTCATTTTGAACCCTGCAAACTGCCTTTGATGGAAGTTTTAAGGAAGGGAGCTTCATTGCATCCTGAACTAGATTTTCCTTTTCATATTTAGAAGCAATAAAAAAAAAAAAGAAAATAAATTGTTGTTTTCTACAAAGCAGCTGCCATCAGCACAGCCTATTATCTGAGCTGGCTCAAAGCACAGAGGAATGACAGCTCAGTGCTGACATTTTAAGATTCAGAACTTCAGTCTATTTGAATGCATTCCATGATGAGTCAAAGCCCTCTCCTAGAAATATGGAAAGGCATTTTTTCTTTTCTTAAAATAGTTGTGCTATTTCACCTCAGAAATACTTAACACCCACAAATATGAGCCACTGATATTCCTGCTTCCTTCAATTTTAATTTGCTTATACAACAGAGAACGCAAAAATGTGTTAAGAGAAGATTTAACAATGATGCTCAGATGTACATAGACCAGAATTATGCAAGTGCCTGAGTTTACAGTTCAGCTGCAGATTGTGGCTAGTTAGTTTTGTTTATTTGTTTATTCAAGCACAACATCATTAATCAAATTGCTGAGATTTCACAAAATTAAAGTATCCCAGGAAGATACATGGACACAATAATTCTTACTTATCTCACAGGTACCCACAGATTTGCCAACAGAGGGAGTCCTCTTACTGTCTACCAAAGATCTGTGGAAGCGACGGTGTCCCTGCTGAGCAGCTACCATCGCTAAGAGCAAGGATGGAAAAGGTTTGCAAAACAGAGGCACCTCAGGGTATTTAGCAAATCAAAACATGGAGTAATATCAGACATCCAATCCCTAGAAGTACACTGGAGGATTCAAGCAGCCGTTTATGTTATTGCAGCAATTATATCTATGGGCAGGGCTATGAAATATCTGTGAGAGTTATTACTCTTAAATAAATTGAGAAGAATTATGCCAGATAAACATACAGTTCCCCTATGTCTGCCAATCAATGTTTAACTGTAAAAATCCTTTGAGTTCTTTCCTGTTGTTGTAGTCATAGCTGGTCAAACAGCAAGTATTCAGGCTGTGGTTTGGAGGAAACAAGTTCTAAAAATAAATTATTAATTAATTAAATTAAATTTCAAACAAACAAACAAAACAAAAAGACCCCATTTCTTCTATATTGTAATTCTATATTGTGATTTCTTCTATAATAAATTTTATATTGTGAATTTTATTCTACATTGTGATTTCCTTAAAGGAATTTAAATGTAATTTTAATCCCAACAGAATGAATTTATATACAGTAAGACCCTCAGAACTTGCTTTTTCATCACAGAATAAACCAAACTTTCTTGTGAACTATGAAAATGTTTATTTAGTATTTTATAGCTACTGTTTGGACCATTATGGTTTCTGCTGCTTAACCCTTACCTGATGTAGCCACTTCCCTTATGACTTGATGAAAGGATTTCAGCAACTGATCTGATAATGACATGAATCATATTCCAGATTAGCTTGGACACAGAATTTTAGTGCATTTAAGAGGAAAAAGAAAAAAAAAAAAAGCAGAAATAACATTTTACTTATTACCTCAAAGTAAACATTTTACAATTACAATGTATTATGAGGGCTAATAATTTTGTAAAATATTAAGTAACCAAACCAAGAACTGAGCAGCATTCAGGTATGGTGATTTACTAGCAGTAGCATAAAGACAAAAATATTAGGTTACAGTCACATCTGTGTGACAGTAGCTCCTTCCTTCTCACAGAAATTGCCATTTTTATGGTAGTCAAGACTGAAGTGCTTATGAAGCAACACCTAAGCCTCTGGTTTTTTTTCAGCTTGATATATCCCAGTGAGTCTTTTAGAAAAATAAAAATACAAAACCAGTATTACCTGCATCTGTTCCATCTCCTTTCTGTCCTTTTACTGGGACCCAGATTTATACTGAGATTCCAGCAGCAGTCCTAACCTCAACCAATTATCTTCTAAAATGAATTCAGGGTAGGCAAACCAGTGCCAAGAAAACTCAGAATGGCAACAAAATTGAGCCTAATTATTGATGGGAATAAAATTGAGATTTTTTTCCCTTCATTTTCAAATGAGTAAAGTTCTTTGTTTTTTACTTCTTGGTAAGACTGCAAACAGATCAGCTTTGCAAGTTTTGGACGTCTGGCCATTTTAGATAAACATTCCAGCCCTTTTAGTGTTTACAGACTAAACTGTAGAGCTAAATGTTTATGTTGCACTGCATAACTTCAGCTTTGTATTTAACAGAAAGACTGCTAAAGTAATATTGTTTCAATCAGTAGGTGAAGACACATGCTACTGAAATAACCAAATTTTTAAAGACAGATATTAATACTAGTCTGTCCATAAATATTTAATATATCTCTCTGTAGTAGGCTTTATAGTTGGAATATATAGAACTCCCACAGTTTACAGGGTCTCTAATTGTTTTTATTCCCAGACCCTTTGAAAACAGTTATTATTGCCTTTAGCTTCTATGAAAACTAGAATATAGCCTTTTGGGTTTCAAATAGTATGTTCCTCCCCTAATTCTAATTTAATATGAAATAAATCCTTGGCCATGTATTTCAAGGAACATGGCCTCAGATATTGCTTGGAACAGGGTTTGGATCCTATAATTGTACCTGTGCAGGGCAAGAGTTTACCCTGACACATGCAAAACTACATAGAGCAGAGAACTAGTTTGGTCCAGAAAAGAGAATTTCTGGACCAAAATATCTGTTCTCAATCAAATCTCTTCTCAGTTCTAAATAACTATCTAGCTGTTGCCTGCTAAGATTAATTTGAATCATGTCTCTTTCTCCTTGGTATTTACATTTTTCTTACTCTTTGGGGATAACAACAGTATCTAAGAGTGTATAAATCTGAAAGTATGTCATTCATTCCAAAATACCACTTTGCTTGTAAAATGAAAACAAGCTGGGGTACAATATTGCTTTTAAGAAGAAGAAAAACAACATGAAGAGAGTTGCACAGTGGCATCGGCTTGCAGACTGTGTTATTCATTGTTCAGCTGCTCATGTAGAGACTTTCCACGTTAAAGCAACACAATTCAGATGAGGATATTTCTTAACTTCTGTGGTTAACTTGGATGTTTCCATTTCACTGTGAGTTTCGGCTGGATGTGTTTTCCACAAGGTCAGAAGAGTTTGCCCTGGATGGGCTCCTCTGGGGATCATACCATTACACGTTTCCTGTTTTGCACATGACAACACAGTAAGCTTTTTCAAAGACACAAGCTGTGTGTGTAAGCCTTCTGAGCAGAGTTACTACTGTACTACTGCAAGAGTAAGACAGTACAAAGGAAAGAACTCTTGACTGAAACCATTCCCATCTTTCTACTGAGTCCTACAGAACCTGAATTCAAGCCCACTGCTCAAAGAGGTTGAATTCAAAGAGCAACAACCTCAGGGTTTAACCTGGGTTTTCAAATCCCTGAGTGTAAGGTAATCAAATACAGCACTTATGTTTTGTCTTTTGTCCATTGCTTAGGCAAGTCAGTTTTCACTGTGTCAGAGTAGTTACATTAGCACTTGACAAGTCTGACAAGGTGAAGTTACCTGAGACTCAGAGCAGGTACATCTTCTAATGAACCCAGAGGTAATCAGGCAGCAGTTCCTGAACCAGTTGATAAAAACTGGCATCACTATTCCTTTTTTTCAAACTGATTGACCTATGCTTAAAACAGCACCTTCCCCAAATAATTTTCTGAAAGTTCAAAGTTATTTAGAGGTTGAACCATGTCAAGTGATTTACAGTAACTATGATGTATTGAAGATACATTTAGTGTTTTCAAAGGAACTAACATCTGCAAGTGTTTTCCATTAGTATGTTGTATTGTAAAAGGACCTTTTAAAGAGATGGCAACAGTAAAAGCCTGGAAATTAAAAAGGGAAGTGTAAAGGAAATGAGTATCAAGAAATACAGTTTTGGGGTTTTCTTAATCAATTCAAGTGGAGATGCAATATAGATATCCATTTGAAAGTCCTGATCATATCTATGAAACTGAGGAGACTTCTGTAATTTTAAGATGGTTTACATCAGCTAAGTATCAATGAAATTATATCTGAAGACTTGACATAGATCTCACTGTTTCCAAGACTGCTGGAAACACTGTTCAAACCAGAACATTGCATCCCTCATGCACATTTCTATCACTGTCTGGCCACAGAGCATCTTTGGAGCATCTCAAAGATGAGAAAGAAATTGTCTGAAATGGTCAGGTTTGTCCTGACATGATCTTAAAATAAAGCTATTCTCCATACAGGAAAAAAAAATATAAAAAAGGAGGACTTTTTGACTAACTGATAGAATGTGATGGTCCTCAAAATTTAGACTGTTATTCATAGCTCATAAAACCTTCCTGAGAAAATGCTTGCAGTATGTGGGACAGAACAGCAGGAGGGGATCAAGGCAGCCTTCATTTTTGGGAGCTTCAGCCAGCAGGGAATCCCAGGCATACCAGGACTGGAATGGAGGCTGCTGTGTCCTACTTCCCCTTCAGGTTATTTCTACATTATTATCATCCAAAAGGAAGCTCAAAAAGGCCTTGAAGGAGCCTGGCTTGCCTCCTCCTGCAATCAGGAATGGAAAGCATTGACAAAGATGAGTATATTGGTGTCTAAATATTGGGGAAAACAATTCAAAGGAAGAATTTAAGAAATCATAGAAACATCATCATTCCTTTCCGGTTTTTCCAAGGATCCTGGCAACATAGTATTTCCTCAGTAGCATGTTTCAGCTACAAAGATGGACCATCTCACTTCACACACAGTGAAAAACAGGTAGAGAGAACAATCTGATGCCTGCTTGAATCCCTCAGAGAGATTCATAAACAGTGTGCAGGGGCTGCTTGCCTGAAATTCAGTACAGGACTGGAGCTAAATTCTCTGTTCTGTCAGCTGTTGGTAGCGTGCAAGACTCCAGCTAGTGAGCCCAGATCAAGCCTCAACAGGCACATGCTCACCTCTTAAAATATAACAGTCTGGCAATAGATTGTAAAAAAGGCCAAGATACACATGCTATAAAACCTAATTACCATTGCAGCCCATGTCATACATAACCTGCCACTGCACACAATGCATAGAAAAGGAAGGGTTTTATCCAGGACTCTGACAGCTCAGCATGGTGACTTTCCACCCCTGCAGTACCCTGAAAATGTATACAAAATGAGAGATTTCTGTCTATTTTCCTATCATGAAATATTTTTGAAGGAGGAATATTATAGATGCTAGAAATGGGGAGCACATACCATTGATGCATCTAGTTGTATTCCATACCTAAACAAATCTGATCTCAGCTGAGCTTTTTGCATGCTCCAGCCAAACTACTCTGTATGTGAAAATAATATTCCACTGCCTCCATCTTTGCAGTCTCATAGTGTTCACTATCAACAGAATAGATGAATTTCCTTTTGCTGACTACAGCCTGATAGTCTCTGTTATGCTACTTTTTAATTACTCACTTCACTCTCCAATCTTTCACCAAGAATTTGCTGGCATTTACCTTGAATTCTCTGTAGGGGGACTTCAGTTCTTTGAGGGTTTGGAAAGAAATTACATTCTCTATTCATGGTTCTACTAATGTACTATATGAAGTGCTAGCTCTGCACATACAGTCTGAACGTAGTCTGTCTATATTTTCCATATGTAATAACTGACTATCAATTCAATGGCCAGTTTTGATCACTACCTTCTGCACCTACAACCCCAAGCTTGCATCATGTGTATTTCCTTGCCAGAACATT